TGCAAGGTTGCCAACATACCAAAAAAGGCCTCCCTCTGTTCTCCTGATTAAAATCTGAAGAGGTCATTCTTCCCTGAAATTCCCGTGCAGTACCATCAGTCAATGTGTTTCTCTTGACAGGGTGCTGTAACTAAATGCTGATTTAAAGGATATAGATTATCTGAGTTTCACTTAAATGGGAAACACATTTAGATATATTAAAAATATGTTAAGAGCTGGGAAGGTGGCTCAGTGGTAGAGTGCTTGTCTCGCATGCATGAGGCCCTGGGTTCGATTCCTCAGCACCACATAAGCAGAAAAAGCCAGAAGTGGCGCTGTAGCTCAAGTGGTAAAGACAGTACCCAGGTCCAGAGTTCAGGCCCCACGACTGACCCCCCCCTCAAAAAAAAAAAAATATATGTTAGGATGTTGTAAAGTCTCCTTAATACTTGTGTAAAGGTTTATATTAAACATGGAGGTTGACCCACACAATTTTTTGTCCGGTCAGGGGCCTGAACTCTGGACCTGAGAGCTATCCCTCAGTTCTTCAGCTCAAGGCTAACACTCTATCACTTAAGCCACAGTGCCACTTCGGGCTTTTTTTTTTTCCTGCTTATGTGGTACTGAGGAATGAACCCAGGGCCACATGCATGCAAAGCAAGCGCTCTACCACTGAGCCACCTTCCCAGCCCAATATTTTTAACTTGGTCTTGCAGCTTGAACTCAGGGACTGGACACTGTCCTTGAGCTTTTGTGCTCAAAGGCTAGTGCTCTACCACTTTGGGTCACATACTTGTGGTTTTCAGGTAGTTAATTGGAGATAAGAGTCTCAGCGATTCTTTCTTGCCTGGGCTGGCTTCAAATCATGATCTTTAGAGCTCAGCCTCCTTTAAAGCTAGGATTACAGGCTTGAGCTACCAGTGCTCCACAATAACATGCAATTTTTAAGACCAAAAAGGAAGGATTTACTGCCATGATCATAACTGGAAGTGAGGGTTATATGTGGAAATATCTGCCTTCCCTGAATTAAACAAAAATCCTGAATAGATGCATACAATTAGGAAAGTATAAACTCAATAGCAAGTCTGAATGAAAATTGAGCACAGTAACTTAAAGTTCTATTGTTAAGAGTTTCTATGCTTTGTAACATAAACCAGAGTTCAATTTCTAGCTCTGTATTCACTAGCTCTATAACCTTTCAAGCTCAAAATTTTGGGCCTGAGTTTCCCCCATGATTAACTCTGCCAGAGATGATGCATTCTTGTAATCATAAATACTCTAGAGACTGAGGATCACAAGTTCCAGCCAACCTGGACAACATAGCCTATCAAATGTGAGATCCTAGGTTTGATCTGGAAAAAAAAAAAAAAGTAACATAGCATCAAGATCATTTTGTATCTTTTAGCTGCCCTTCTCAAGCTTTCTATCTCAGGAACCTTATATATGCTTCCTTCTTCCTATGAGGCACTTCCCTCTACGATCAACCCTCTCTAACTTCCTTTATATCTCTACCCGTCACATTCTCAAGCAGGACAACAGTAACTCACCTGCAATCCTAGCTACTCAAGAGGCCATTCTAAGCCAGTCCAGGCAGGAAAGTCTGGGAGACTCTTATCTCCAATTAACCACCAGAAAACCCCAAGTAGAACTGTGGCTCGAAGTGGTAGAGCACTAGTCTTGAGCAGAAGAGCTCAGAGACAGTACCCAGGCCCTGATTTCAAGCCCCATGACCAACCCCCCCCAAAAATATGTAAGGTGAAAAGTCTCAGTTTAGTTAACAGTACATAAAGAGTATATTGGTTGTTTCTTATTTGTTTGTTTATTTATTGCCAATCCTGGTGCTTGAACTCAGGGCCTAGGTACTGTCCCTTAGCTCTTCTGCTCAAGGCTAGCACTCTACCACTTAACCCACAGCTTCACTTCCAGCTTTTTGGTGCTTAATTGGAAGTTAAGAGTCCATGGCCTTTCCTGCCCAGGCTGACTTTGCATCCTGATCCTTAAATCTCAGCCTTTTGAGTAGTTATAGGCATGAGCCTATAGTACTACTGCACTGCTTCTGATCTTTTTGAGACTTGATTTTGCTAAGTCACCCAGACTGGACTTGAATTCCTGGGCTCAAATGATTCTTCTGAATCAGCTTCCCACGTGCTGGAACTACAGGAATGCACTACAACTGGCTGACAAAAAGGTTTGTTGGTTGGTTGGTCATAGGGCTTGAACTCTGGGCCTGGGTACTGTCTCTGAGCTCTTCAGTTCAAGGCAAGGGCTCTGCCATTTGAGCCACAGCACCACTCCCGGTTTTCTGGTGGTTAACTGGAGATAAGAATCTCATGGACTTTCCTGCTCAGGCTAGCTTTGAATAGCCATCCTCAGATCTCAGTCTCCTGAGTAGGTAGGATTACAGGTGTGTGCAGGTGGGCGCCCAGCCAAAGGTTTTTTTTTTTATGTTAAATATTAAACATTTTCCTATGTCTATACTACACTGGCTTTTGTTTTTTTCTTTAGCTTTGACTTCTATAAAACCAGTTTTGAAGGCTGGGAATGTGGCTTAGTAGTAGAGTGCTTGCCTAACGTGCATGAAGCCCTGGGTTCCATTCCACATAAACAGAAAAAGCCTGAATTGGTGCTGTGGCATGAGTGGTAGAGTCCTAACCTGAGCACAAAGAGATTTCAGTGACAGAACCAGGCTCTGAGTTCATGCCCCAGGGGAAAAACAAAAAACTAGTTTTGAAATTTGTGGATCTCATATTTTCAATTAACAAAATTAGAAGCATGCATACAACTCCACAGGAATTTTATAGAAGACCCTATATAAGCAAAAGATGAGGCCCTTGCCCTTGATACATTCAAGGAAGACCACAAATCCACCTGTCATAATAATGAACACCATGTGACCACTATGTGACAAATACTGAGAAGCTCACTTTGCAAAGAAAGTTAAAAGGCCAAATATATCTCCTATATATCACCTACCAGGTTCTGAAACCCAGCAGAAAGCAAGAGTAATTGGAGATGTAGCTCAGGATTGAAAGCTTGCCTAACATGCCCAGGACCCTGCAGTCTTCCCTAGCAATACAAAAGAAAAATGTAAGAGTCAAACTTGACTGAGTTAGTTCACACCCATTATGGGTCATGACAAACAGGGTTCTAGATACTAGTTAAAATGGGAGGAAAAGAAGATAAAAAAGATGGGCAGCAAATTCTAAACTCATTAAGGACAAGAACCAGACTGGTTTCTTGTGCTCAAGCAATGGCTCAAAGAGTAGAAAAGTACATAAAATCCTCATCTTCACACAGACACCTACTCAGCCATCCACCGGTTTTTACCCCTTCGAATGAAACCCAGTGGGAAGCCTAAGCTGTGCTTACCCACTTTCTCTGAACCAAAAAAAAAAAAAGGGCAAAAGTCCTCACCCAAGCAATCACCTCTTTGCTAAGACTGAGCCAGCCTCAGTCTTAGCCAGAGATTCACCCTAGTAACAAAAACAGGCATCCAGAGTCAGAGGACCTGGGTACAAATCCTGACACCATTTATTGTTAGCATGAGTCTCAAGTTATTTGACCTTTCTCTGCCCTCTCTGTAAAATGGGATAATGACAGTACTGCCTTCAGGTTGGACAGCTGATTAAATGAGATAAAAAGCATACAACACCTGCCCACAACCTAGATGCAAGAAGCCCTCAATAAACGTTCAGTATTATTATTTTCAAGAACAACAGTAACAAAAAAAATTTGCCCCAAGGCTGAAGAGCCAACATACTTGAGAAATCTTGCAAAAGGTTATCATTAAACCCGGAAGCCAAACACACCGCTCCCCCGATCCTGAGGCACACCGGTAACAGTAGTAATAATAATAAAATCCCAGAATAATAACTATAAAAGCAATAGGAAGCCGCAGCACAGATACTTAAAAGAGCGATCCAACCAGTCAGACACAGTCCTATCCTAGAAGAGGAAGGAGGAGGCCAGGCTGCTGAATCACACACACACACACACACACACACACACACACACACACACACACACACACACACACACACACGGGGGGGGGGGTACAGAACCTTCCCCACCCTCTTCCCCACCCTCCTTTATAAAAGCAGTCATTGGCGCCCAATTTTTTTTTTTTATTCTAAAAACAGCTATCCATATGGATCCCGACCTAACGTGTCATTAGAGGTGGGGCCCCGGGGAGGGAGGGGTGGCGCTCGCCCGGCTCCCCTCCGGATTTGGGGGGACTAAGCCCCCACCCCACGAATCGAAACCCAGATTTCTTGCAGAGCAAGAAAGACCTTCAAATTCGGAGGCAGGAAGCTTGTGCCTGGAACAAGTGTCATCTGTCTTCCCGAGCCCGGGCCCCGGCGAGGGAGAAGGTTCGGGTTACCGGGCAGCGGTGATTTCCGAAACCGGTTTCCCCCCGCCCCACGATCACCGACCTTCCACCTTCTCTGGCAATCACAGCCCGGCCCGGGAGGAAAACAAAAGCTGGGGCGCTGGGGCGCCGGGCCGGGCCGGCCGGGCTGGGGCGGCACCGGCGAAGACGCCCTCCATTCCGGCTCGCGGCCCCGGGCTCGGGCAGCGCGGCCGCGGCGGCGCCCGGGGGGCAACAGGTCGGGCCGGACGAAGGCCCGAGGGAAGACGGGGATCCCGCCAGCCGCGATTCCCCCCGCCGCGGCCGGGAAGGCCGAGGACAGGGGCGAGGACGCGGGCGCGGCGCCCGGGCGGCGCGGGGCGAGGATCCACGCTCCATCTTGAGGCGGGCGGAAGGACGCCAAGGCCCGGGCAGGCGCTGACAGGACCGACGCGGCGCCCGCCCGGCCGCCCGGCCGGCTCACCCCGGGGGCTGAGGCTTCGGGGCCGGCTGCCGCGGGTTCCGGGGCTCCCGGGCTCCCTCAGAGGGGGGCCGGCACGCGGGGTTCGGTTCCACACACAGACACGCAGATACACACACTCCCGACACCCCCGGGCCGGCTGAGGACATGGAAAGGTGAGGAAGGGGAGAGGCCCTCGCGCCCCCAGCTCACCGCCTCGGACGCGGACGCCACGGGTCGTCGCCACCTGCCTCACTGCAGCAGCGCCGCCGCCGCCTCTTCCCGCCGCCGCCTCCTCCTCCTCCTCCCGCCTCCCGCCGCTTCGTCTCGGGGAGGAAGTGGAGGGGGGGGTGACGTGACGCAGAAGCCGCCGCCTTTGGCCACGCCCCTCAGTGGCCACGCCTTCCCTCTCGTGGCCACGCCTCCCGCGACCCCGACCGCCGCGGTCGCCGCCCCTTTGTCTGTGCCCACCGCTCGCCACCACCTTCCCCCGCGAGCCCGACCTCCAGCGTACCCCAAACCCGCACGAGCCCGGGGTGGAGAGCCACGTGCGACGGCGCCTCGTCATTTCGGTTAGTTCTCCGGCTTCGGCCAAGTGTCCCTGAAATTTTGCAAGTCACCTCCCCGCCACCACACGCACGCGCGCCCCTTCCCGTGGCCCCCTCCCCGTGGCCCTCTTTCCAATCGGATCGAAGCCTCGGGGAGGCGAGGGGGCCCGGGGAGGCGAGGGGGCCCGGGGAGGCGGGGGGGGGGCTCTCCCCTTCCCGCCAGGCCGAGGAGAGAAAACAGTTTGAAACAAGTGGGAAGGTTCCTTGCACAGCAGGTTCAGCTCCTCTGGAGGGGAAGAGCCGCCACCGCCAGGGTCCAACACTCCTTTGGAACAATCTGGCACCGTGAGTTTGAGAAAAGCCGCCTTTATTCGCCCCAGTGTTTTGGACCGAAGCCCAGCTTCCCGTCCCGTCTTTGCCCCTCCCGCCCTTGGATCTGCTGTGAAAGCTTTTCAGAGGGGCTGGAGGGGCCGCCGCCGCCGCCCGCCCGGCCGCGCTGAGCCAGCATTTCACTCCCATGGACCATGGCAACCCCAGAAGTTTGGCAGCTCCAGGCCGACGTCGGCAGCTGACAGGAGAACCCCGGATGTTGCAAGGACTCACGGGTGGCGGAAGAATCCCAGGCGTCCTCTATCCCACCCCACCCCTCTGGAAGAGAATAATCAGGAGGGTGACCTCCCTTGCTGACCTTTATTCAAAGAATCTTGCTGCCTGGCCGGACAGGCAAGAGGGAATGCTTTTAGAAATGCAGTACATTCTTAACAAAGTAAATTTATCAGTGGGGCCCTCCTCCCCATTCTTAAGACTTAAGTCACACACAGTTTTAATACCTAACACAGCTTTTCCCTAATTTACAAGCTTCAAGGCCAGATGGTGTTCATATGTCCCAGAATCCAGTACTCATATTGCCAGTGTGGGGTGCAGCCATAAAACCCTTCACTTTTCTCTACGGATTCAGCTGAGTTTACCCCTAAGAATAATGATCTGGCCTGGCAATGGTGGCTCACACCTGTAATTCTAATTCAAGAGGCTGAGATCTGAAGATCCAGGTTCAAAGCTGGGGCAGGAAAGTCTTGAGACTCGTCTCCAATTAACCACCAGAAAACTGGATCCTCCCTTGAATGGACACCGCCCTGATCTCTGCCTCCCAAGGGACATTTTTATTTTTAATTTTTAAAAGACTGCAGTAACCACTTAGCCCCATAGCAGGAAGAGGGGAAGGACTAGAGAAACTAGTTGCTCCACATTAAGTGCCAAACAAACACACAGTTTGCCTATTGATCCCCTTTCCTTTTTTATTTATTTATTTTATTTAGCCAGTCCTGGGGCTTGAATTCAGGGCCTGGGCACTGTCCTTGAGCTTCTTTTGCTGAAAGCTAGCTAGCTACCACTTGAGCCACAGCACCACTTTATGTTTATGTGGTACTGAGAAATTGAACCCAAGGCTTCATGCACACTAGGCAAGCACTCTACCACTAAGCCACATTCACAGCTATACTTGTGAGACTTATCTCCAATTAACCACCAGAAAATCAGAAGTGGTGTTGTGGCTCTAACTGATAGAGTGCTAGCCTTGAGCAAAAGAGCTCAACAGTATCCAGACCTTTTTTTTTTTTTTTGGTCAGTGGTGGGGCTTGAACTCTGGGCCTGGGCACTGTCCCTCAGCTCTTCAGCTCAAGGCTAGTGCTCTACCACTTGAGCCACAGCACCACTTCCGGCTTTTTTCTTTTTGCTTATGTGGTGCTGAGGAATCGAACCCAGGGCCTCAGGCATGCAAGGCAAGCGGTCTACCACTGAGCCAACTTCCCAGCCCAGTATCCAGACCTTGAGTTCAAGCCCCATGACCAACCAAAAACAAAAAAAAGAGGAAGAGGGACAGAGGTGAGGAAGGCAGGTTCCAGGGCTGAGATCTTGCTTCCTCCACAGCTGAGAAGCTAGGAGAAAACCCTTAAGGGCCATGCCAACCATGAAGAAGGACACGGTACAAGGTCAGCATTAAGGAAGAGCCCATTTGTACATCTGGGCCTCCCCTGGACCCTTGGCTGCTTGAGCACTTTGGGCCCCCATGCTGGCATGAACTGCATGGCCTCATGACAGAGACTCCATCTGCTCTGGTAAGTGACCGGAAGGGAAGGAAGGCTGAATCAGCAAGAGAGCACCTTAGTCCTGACTGAGCCAAGGCAGAGCATATGTCTGAAGCAAACCCAACCAAATACCCCCTCAAAACCAGGACAGCCACCCCTCCTAGGGGCTTATCACCAAAGATCATTTCTCCCCCATTATTTTTACACAGCTAGAGATTGAACCCAGAGCCTTCCATATGATAAGCCACTACTACTGACATGCACCCCAACCCCTTCCTTTCTTTTTCTTCCTTCCTTCCTTTTTTTTTTTTGCCAGTTGTGGGGCTTGAACTGGGCCTGGGCACTGTCCCTCAGCTCTTCAGCTCAAGGCTAAAGTTCTACCACTTGAGCCACAGCACCACTTTCATTTCTGGTGGTTAATTGGAGATAAGGGTCTCAGAGACAATCCTGCTCGGGCTAGCTTTGAATCACGATCCTCAGAGGATTGATTACAGGCATGAGCCACCAGCTCATGGCTCCTTTTTTTTTTTTTTTTGCCAGTCATGGGCTTGAACTCAGGGCCTGGATGCTGTCCCTGAGTTGCTTTTGTTCAAGGCTAGCACTCTACCACGTGAGCCACATCTTCAATGTTTTTTTGTGGTACTGAGAAAGCAAACCCAGAGTTTCATGCATGCTATGCAAGCACTCTACCACTAACCGCTCTTTCTGTCCTTCTTTCCTTCCTTCCTAACTTCCTTCCTTCCTTTCCTTTTCTTTTTCTTTTCTTTTTTTTGTTTTTCCTTCCTTTCTCTTTCCTTCCTTTCTTTCTCTTTCATTTTCTTTCTTTCTTCTTTCTTTCTTTCCTTCCTTCTTTCTTTCCTCCTTTCTTTTTCCTGTCAGTTAAGGGCTTGAACTCGGGGCCTGGACACTGTCCCTGAGCTACTTTTGCTCAAGGCTAGCACTCTACCACTTCAGCCACAGTGTTTTTTCTGTTGATGTAGTACTGAGGAATGGAACCCCAGGGCTTCACACACACCAGGTAAGCACTCTACCACTAAGCCACATCCCCAGCCCAGGCACATTCTCTAATGTAGAGCTGGAGATATGGTTCACTGGTAGAACACTTGTGTCCACTTTTCAAGGCCCTTGGTATGATCCCTAGCATTACAAAAACTGGTGCTGGCGGCTCTTAATCCTAGCTATTCAGGATGCTGAGGGTTCAAAGCCAGCTGGCAGGAAAATCTGTCAGATGTTTATTTCCAAGAGACTCACGGACTTTCCTGCCCAGGCTGGCTTTGAACCGTGATCCTCAGATCTCAGCCTCCTGAGTAACTAGAATTATAGGCATGAGCCACTGGCACCTGGCTTTATTTCTATTTTTATTTTTCCAGTCACAGGGCCTGAACTCTGGGCCTGGGTGCTGTGCCTCAGCTCTTCAGCTCAAGGCTAGGGCTCTACCACTTGAACCACAGCACCACTTCCGGCTTTTTCTGCTTATATGGTGCTGAGGAATCAAACCCAGGGCCTCATGCATGCAAGGCATATTTCTCTTAATTTTTATCCTTTATTATAGAGATTATTTATCATGATCGTTAATCTTTTTTTTTTTTTAATGGAGCTTGAACTCAGGACCCGGGCACTATCTGGGATCTTTTCACTCAAGACTAGTGCTCTACCACTTTGAGCCACAGTGCCAAATTCCAGTTTTCTGGTGTTCATTTGGAGATAAGAGTCTCACAAACTTTTCTGCCTGGGCTGGCTTCAAACCATAACCTTCAGATCTCAGCCTCCTGAGTAGCTAGGATTACAGGCATGAGCCACCGGAGCCTGGTTATATATATAAACTCCCCCCCCCCCCCCCGCCCCCCAGTTGTGGGGATTGAACTCAGGGCCTGGTGCTGTCCCTGAGATCAAGACTAGTGCTTTACACTTGAACCATAGCACTACTTCCTAATATTAAAAAAAAATGGCAGTACTAGGGTTGAACTCAGGGCCTAATGCTTGCTAGACAGGCACTCTGTCATTTGAGTTACATTTCCAGCCTTTTTTGTTCTATTTTTCAGTAGGGCCTGATTTATTCATGGATTTCCTTGATAACCACACTGGGTTACAGTTTCTTCAAAAGAACACCAAGGCCTGTCTTTGCCTCTACATCCAAAGTATTTGGGAGAGAATCATTCATACAAAGCTCACTGAAGCCAGGCGCTGGTAGCTCATGCCTGTAATCCTAGCTACTCAAGAGGCTGAGATCTGAGGATCGAGGTCCAAAGCCAGCCAGGGCAGGAAAGTCCGTGAGACTCTTATCTCCAATAAACCACCAGAAAACCGGAAGTGGCGTTATAGCCCAAGTGGTAGAGAGCTAGCCTTGAGCTGAAGAGCTGAGGGACAGCACTCAGGCCCAGAGTTCAAGCTCCATCACCCAACGACAACTCAGCCCAAGGTAAAATAGAAGCACCAATTAGGAAGTGAAGGACTAGTCAATCAGATTTCAGCTGAAAAGTGGTCCAAGCATAAACAGAGCAGACACCAGTGACTTCTCATTGCTCTAATATAAAGCTCTTTGTCACTTTTTTTTTTTTTTGTCGGTCGTGGGACTTGAACTCTGGGCCTGGGCGTGTCCCTCAGCTCTTCAGCTCAAGGCTAGCGCTCTACCACTTGAGCTACAGCGCCACTTCCGGTTTTCTGGT